GAAGTTCTTTGACAGCAACTCTGTGGCACATATTAGTGAGGTTTGGTGAGTCATGGTGTGGTGATGAACAGCCTACAATGCTCCACCCTAGGTCCGTCCGAACTGCATATGGTTCACTATTTCCTCCAAGGATTATCTGCCGTGGTGCCAGTGCCCTTGAGCAATTGTAGCCGATCAACAGACCGACTTCACACTCCAGCTGTGGTGGGATTTCATCTGCTATTTTTATTAGATGATTCCAGTGCCGTGCCGTGTCACAGGTAGGAATGTGTGTTCGATTCACTGGTATACAGTCCTTGGTGTAAGCAGGAGGGAGATCAATGGGGATTGTAGAGCTATAACCTCTCACTCTCAGGCCTGATACTCTTTGACTATGCATTAATGAATCCTTTCCTGTCATTGTTGTTAGCTTCAGCCTTACAGGATGTGTTTCAGTCTGCAGACTATCACTAACTTCTTGGTCAATGAAGACTGTATCACTTTGGGTATCAAGCAAGGCATAAATAAGCCTTTCTATACCTGGATTGCTAACGGAGGAAACCCACACTGGTACTATCATCGAAGTAGTAGTAGTTGGTTCCTTGGTCTCCACACTGAGAGACAATGTGGTTGCTGTTTCCTCTGTGGTGCCTTGATTTAAGACTAACGTGGTTTTGGCTTTAATGTAGTTGTCATCATGGAGAAGCGTAGGATGTCTTCCTTTACAGCTTTYACATGAATGTCTATTGCGGCAGTCCTTGGCATTATGGCCTGACCTCAGACAGCCATAGCAAAGTTTCTTTCCTTTTACATATTCTCGTCGTTCCTCCAGAGCTTTCCTTTTGAACTCAGGACAGCGATGAAGATGATGTTTACTGTCTTGACAAAACATACATGGTGGCTTTAAACCTGTTTTTAATTGCCCCTGAGTTTCAGTCTCTGTAACTATCTGTGTATGGAGAACACTGGATTTGAACTTCTTTTCTTTCAGATAACGTCTGTCTGAGTTGGACTCTGATGAGTGGAGAGCGTGGAACGAAGTTATAGGGTTGCATGCAATCTCTGCCTCCGTTACAATGAAGATGACAAAGTCCTGGAAGTTAGGAAACTCCTGCTTATCTGTCATGACTTGAGTGGCTTTACGATTCCACTGTGATGCTGCCCAGTCAGGTAGCTTTTGAACCAGTTTCTGATTTTCTTCACAATCGTTCAAAATGTCAAGACCCTTAACATAAGGCATGGCTTCCTGGCATGAATGTAAGAAATCAGCAAATGCCCTGAGTCCCTCGGCATCCCTTGGATGGATCTTTGGCCAGTTTGCTAGTTTTTCTCTGAATGCTCTCTGTATAACAAAGGGCTGACCATAACGTTGATTGAGACGGTTCCATGCATCTTTATAGGCCTCTTCATCGTTTCTATAAAATATGCCATCAAGTGTCTTTCGAGCTGGACCTCCTACATATTTTTTCAAATAATGCAAYTTGTCAGCTGAAGCAATGTTCTTTTTATCTATGAGCGATGTGAAGGAAGCCTTCCATTCAATGAACTGGATTGGGTCACMAGTAAATACAGACGGTTCTGGCATTGGGAGCCTGTTCAGAGCTATGCTATCTTGGACTGCCTGAGCTAGATAACTTACATCTGTCTGTGCAGGTGATGCTGCCACTGTGACATTAGTGGGCTGCTGGATGAGAGCTGAAGACACAGGTTGTTGAGGACACACATACTGATGTTCTCTTGAAGTATGATCAGCAGAATGAATACTAGCTCCCTGCATTACTTCCTGATCATAGGTTGTAAACCTAGCTCGTGCAGCTCTTATGTCCTTCTCTGCCTTTAATCTTTCCAACTCACGTTTCTGAGCTTCAAGTTCTCTCCTCTGTTGTTCCTCTAGGAGTTGAATCTTTTCCTTTTGTCTCTCCTCCTCCAATAACACTTCATACTCCGCTTCCTTTGCTGCTAATTYTGCTGCGGCATCTACTCTTTTTGCTGCYATGACGGAGTGTTGGCTGGAACCTTTACTGGAGTGTTGACTTGCACGTGAAGCTGTGGATCCGTAGATGGAGCGAGCATAGTCTCTGTTAAGAAGCTCATGGAGGYGTTGCTTTACTGCTTCACTATCAAATTCTCCATCAATGCCTGATATCCTTTCAAAAGCAATCTTAATAATGTCCTTTGTCACTGCCTCACAGGCATCAATGCGACGTCTTGTCTCACTGGATGGAGTGAGATGAGCTCTGATTTCCATAAACATGTTTATAACATCATTCTTTCCTTCCTCTAATGTRTCTATAAGAGCTGCAATGTCTYTCTCAGATATGTTTAACTTTAGCTGCTCTCTAGCCTTGCGTGCCTGGATCTTCCATTGTTCATAAATGTGAATCAACCTTTTCTCCTTTTTGTGAGCCTCCTCCTTCTGAAATGCAAGCATCCTCTCCGTGGGATTCCGTAGGCGACCAGAGCGACGARGTTCCTCCTCTTTGTTATCCTTATCCATTTCTTGGTCGGAGTCTCTGTCCTCTGGTGGTAAGTTTGCCGATGCTTCCATTTTGTGAGTGGGTGCCACAATCCTTGACCATCACATCAAGTCCCTCTGCAGTTGTCCTTGTTCACCAGCGTGATGGGACCGATGAGGTGAAGCTCTTACTGTAGCATCCCCGGCTGAATGATGATCAGACTCTTCAACTGATGGTCCAAAGTGTTTATTGAAGGAACCTTGTACACTTGAACGCACCGTAAGAGCTATGAAAAAAGTATAACAATAAATATAATTAACTTCTTCATAACCTTATTGTATAATAAATTCACTCAAAATACATTTAACTTCGGACCGGACATTAGCCGAGCTAATGCTAATTAGCTGTACCGCTAGCTCGCAACATTACCTCAAGAGTATACAAAACCGTAAAAGTCACAGCGATTCRAACTACACATTAAACATGTCATGAGGTCATATGAAAACAAACCTTGTGCCCTCTATCAGCCAGGTGCTCGGTAAACAGAGTTATCTTTTCCTCTTTTTCAGTAAATACCTTGCTGTCACACTTTTAATACGCAGACGCACACAACAACGGATGCTTTTGATACATAGCGAGGCGCTTTCAAAATAAAAGTCCCGCATTTAGCGTCTAATTTAATTAATTAAATAATAACCTGGCTTCAAAGCATATCAGGAAACTAAATGAAAACAACATGTCCTTTAATGGTCATTTACAGGGCCACTAAACATTGTTAAGACACTGACAGGAGTCAGAACAGATATACATTTCTATCATAAATGAGCAGGATTTGTCAAAAAACATGACCGCCACTAACCAAAAACGTTTCGCAAAGCGCAGAGCTTAAAATTGGACATTGATAACTCATCAACATTTTGTCCAATCATCATTAAACTTCTATTAATAATAATAATACATTTATTTATACAGCACCTTTCATAAATAAAATGCAGCTCCAAGTGCTTTACAATAAAATCAAAGACATGAAATAAGACATCAATAAGAACATTTTAGCAATAAAACAAAGATTTAGTAAACAGCTTCAAAAAAGCAATAGACTTGAAAATGTGAGAGAGGATGGGGTCAACGGGGCAGGTGGTTGGGTGGGCGGAGGTTACCAGGGTAAGAACTTGGTTGGGTGACAGGGCGGAAAGAGGATAGAGAAGGGGATGAAGATGAGAATGTGGGTTTGAAAATGAGGAGCGTATATCATCTATCTTTTTTGTAGAATAGTTGACAAAGTGGCTTTGTAGAAGAAGAGCTTTTTGGGGTTGGAAAATTCCATTACCATGAAATGTCTAGAGAGGATAATGGTGTAATTTAGCGCAGGTGAGAGTTCTTAGTTGATTGATCCTCAGGTTTAAAAGGCAGCGGCAGAGCTGCTTCCTGGAGAAGAAACACTCAGGACAAAGACACACAAGGACACTCAGGAGGACTGAGACTGGGCTGCAAAGCCAGTCATCCAGCTGAAACAGCTGGACCCTTTAAGTATATTTTGGAGAGTTTTGTTTCAAATAAAGCTGTTAAAACCTGAATGGTTTGTCTCTGGCTGCTGTAGTGAGAGCCCCGTGGCATGGTCAACTGCCACACTGGTGCCCAACGTGGGGCTCTATGCAGCTAGAGACGTGGACCAGCAGGCGGAGATAGCACTGGTACGGATGGTGGAAGACCTCATGGCCACGTAGTGGGAGCAGACAGTGGATGGAGGCTATTCAGAGGCAGATGAAGAGGGAAACGACAATGCTTGAGCATCTGCCGTCCCGGTCGTCGCCCCCTCCTGCACCGACACCGAGCTGAAGGGGGCCGCAAGCGCGGCTCGGACTCTGAGTTCCCGCGCAGCTCCGAAGGAGATGGCGAGCGCATCACACATTTGATCAGTAAACACCTAGGCTACCCCAAGGATCGCTTACCGTTTGTCAGTTTTAGCTCTGCTTGCAACACTCTGCAGCCTCACTCATCCAGAAACTGAAACACATGAATGTCAATCCTTTTATTTTGAAATGGTATTTCTCTCTTTTAACAAATCCAACTCAACAGGCTTTACCTACCAATACCTAATTGACTTGCCCTCTCTGATGGGCTGTGACAGCACAAGACCCTGCCCAGAGAACTACATCAATCAATCCTTGGATAATACAGCCATCCTCGGCCTGAAACAAAAAGACAGCAGCCCATCAGTGTATAATTCCGAAAGTGAGAGATTTGTACAGTGGTGTGAAAACAACCATCTTGTCCTGAAAGTTGAGAATACTGACGGAGTGATATTTGACCCAAAGGCCGTAGGTGATCCCAGGCTGGTATTGATCAACAGTGTTCCCATGATGCAATCACCTGGAAGTCCCACGTTGATGGTAGACTCATGGGGTATACAGTGGAGCAGAGGTGTATGCTGTTTTTCTATCAGACTGTATTAGAGAGCATTATAATATATGTAATTACTGCCTGGTAGGGTAATCTCACTATGTAGCTGAAGACACAGATCAACCATCTGGTACAGACTAAGCAGTTTGTCTTTAGACAAGCACAAAAAATTTATCCAACCCACAATCTTTACCCATAGAGTTCCAACTTCTACTTTCTGGCAAAAGATTCAGGGTCCTCAAATGTAAGCTTAACTGTTATAACGTTTCTTCCCATGTCTATTAAGCTACTCAACAACAATATGTAATGTAGACAGTGGCCATAAGGGATGTGCAATATGTCACCTTTCTGGCAATATTTAACATTAATTAAGGTTTAGCAATGCAATATGTCATTATTGTCAGCAGATGTGTATATGTAAACTGTGGCATGTGTATGGAAGTATTATATTATCATGTGTATGGAATAAAAGCTATCTTACATTCTGTTCTCAGTGTGGTTCTTTTGCAAAATATTTTGGCTTCCCAATCCTTATCATTTATTTTGTTTCAGATTTCTACCACAATCACAGGAAAATGGAATATTATACCTATTTCAAATTTGCCTCAGAGAAAGAGGCATTATTTGACTGGAGGTCAAGCTCCTTGCCTCAGAGAGTTTCACTAAGCTGAATTAGCCGAAGGCTTTCAAATGTTTTGATTCTTGCTAATGAGTACATTCTCACTCATAGATCTGTATTTGGTGAGAAAGTTGCTGTGCAGGGTCAGTTTAATGATGGTGCCTGCCTTACTTCAGTGTTTCCTACAGGGTCAAGGGGAGGCCCACTGGATATGGAGGTTTTTTTTTCTTTATTCAAGAGTGTGGTCTTTCAGTTGGAGAGCATGACTTGTTGAATTTATGTTCAGACCGTGTATTACTTTTCATCAAAACCCCTGCCCTTGCACTAAAATAGCCGGTTTGCATTGCTCTGCTGAGTGTGCTTGCATAGATTTCCTGCATGATTTCCTCGTGTTGACCATTGGTCAACCAATGAAATTAATGATCTGATCCCTGCCTCATTTCCAGCATGTTCGCTTTACTTCAGAGTGTATAGTGGGTGGTTACTCTTTAACCACTCCTGCCCTCTACTCCTCATAAAAGGGCTTCCCCTGTCCTTTTATTCCAAATAGTCATAGAAAAAACAAGAGAGCAGCTGGCAGACAGTGTGACATCAGCACAGTCGCTCTAAGTTCTGTAATTCCCTCTGTGGTGATGTCCAGTGCTCAACCTATTAAACTTTTACTAACCCGTGTATCAGCACTTTCCAGTACTGAAGGGGTTTAACCTTCTGTGACCTCTGCTGTCGGCTATGTGGGGGGAAGAGGACATTGTTGTTTCATCTACAGCAGTGGTGTATGGGAGGTTATGGAAGTCAAAAAGATTATTATTCAAATATTTTTATTGGGTTTTGAATTGTAAACACTTATAGACAATTAACAAGTCCCCAAACAGCAACCCCAACATATACAATAATAATAAAGTGACA